AGCATATGGCCCCAGGAGATCCTGGCCAAGTACACACAGGTATAGCAGTTGGCATAGCCAGGCACCAGCCTGCCATGCTCTCATGCCTTTCATGAAGAGATGCACCTTTGCGAGTATTCTGGGACTAGATGACCCACACTCCACGTTCACAGAGGGTCACAGGCTCACTACCAGAGATGGCATTTTAGTGTCTTGAGCCTGTGGGACTCAGTCATTAGCTAGGAGGAAGACTGTGAGGGAGACACGGGAGAATTCAGTCATGGTAGTGACCCTTTCTACTTTAACGGTGGCCAGAGAAGGCCTCATAGAAGGGCCACCTTTACCAGGGTGGGTGTGAGCAGTCAGCCGCATGGGTGGCATCTTTTGGAACTGCTTCACTGTGGAGGACAGACAACCTGCTTCCTAATCCTGGTTCTAGAAGGAAGAGTCTGCAGAGCAACCGGAGTTCTGCTATGATGAGTTTGGTTTCCGTGTGGACAAGGAAGGTAAGACGCAGCCCCTTCCATATGACCTTACTGATGTTCTCGGGAGGAGCCTGGCCCCGGGTTTTGCATTCCACTGCATGTGACCGCTGAGGTCTGGGGGTGTCATTTAAGGAGTTTAGGACAGAGTACATCTAAGAGTGATGTAAGTCAGTGGGAACTTTTTTTTGAGATAAATTTTATTGATCTTTACATAATACAGCAGTCATGTGTATTGTAGTCAAGTTAAACAGCGAGGAAAGGGATGAAGATTAAAGCAGCGAAGGCCGGGCGGTGGTGGCGCACATCTTTATCCCAGCACTCGGGAGGCAGAGGCAGGCAGATGTCTCTGAGTTCGAGGACAGCCTGGGCTACAAAGCACATTCCAGGCCAGCCCGTGCTACAGAGAAATCTTGTGTGTGTGTGTGTGTGGGGGGGGGTGTGTGTGTTAAAAAAAGAACCTGTAGTCCCACAATTTGAGGAAGCTGCTGCTGCGTGAAGTGTTCTTTTCCTGACACTGTGAAATGTCACACGTTACACCCAGAGCATTTCTGTGTTTTTAAACATTACTTTACACATTTTTAATGGTTTCATAGTATCATATTACAACTGACTGTGATATTTTTGTAGCCTCTTTTTTTTTAATTTTTAATTTTTATTTTATGCATTGGTGTTTTGCCATGGGTGTTGGGTCCTCTGGAACTGGAATCACAGACAGTTCTGAGCTGCCATGTGGTTGCTAGGAGTAGAACCCAGGTCCTTTGGAAGAGCAGTCAGTGCTCTTAACCACTGAGCCATCTCTTCCACACCACCTCTTTTCTTTTTTAAGACAGGGTCTCTCTACAGATCTCTGGCTGTCTTGGAACTCACTATGTAGACCAGGCTGGCCTCGAACTCATAGAGGTCCACCTGCCTCTCTTTCCAGGTGCTGGCATTAAAGGTGTGAGCCACCACACCTGGCATAGCCATTTTTCTATAAGAGGGCATCAGACTAGATGCTCCAGCTGGTTGGGAAGGCCATCTGCCAGATCCATGATGGCCTGCCAGCAGGAATAGCAAGCAGGATTGCTTCCTTCAGCTGAAGCACTCAGCTTCACATCACTCACATTTCTAACTCAGGCATTAGTTTTCCTTGGTATTGTCATTTGCAAGAAGATGGAAGTTAAAAGCTCAGGTTGAGAGGGTCACAGAGAACTTTCTAGAATGATGGAAATCATTTGTGTTTTGATAGGTCACTAGATCTAGAGTCCAGGGTGTTCATGACCACATGTGGAACAGTGTTTTGGCATTTTTTTGACACCCATCAGGATGCACACTTAGGACTTTTGCATTTTCCTTGTGTAATGTTGCCAAGGTCGGAGTTCTTAAGAACTAGGGGAAGAGCTTGGCTTAGGGGGAATGCCCAGGAGGCTCTGCAGGCAGGCCTCACCATACAGATTGTATTGGCCGCAGACTTCGTCCTCTTGTGTTCCAGGGGTTCATGAAGCTATGGTGCCTGTGCTTTCTTCCCATTTATGTCCCCAAAGATGGTCTTGACCACAGAGTTCCCCTCTGGTGAGGAGACAGGCCGTAGTCAAACAGAAGTAGAGTGTGCTGGGGGCAAGAAGACCTGTGAAGAGCGTTCCATGGGTAGCAGTGGGAGGTAGAACATTACATATAAGGCAGTTAAGTAAGGCTTTTCAGAAGGGAGGACTTTGAATAGAGATGGGGGGGGGTTAGAACTGGGGAAGGGCAGCGGCAGGGGCAAAGGTCCCGGAGTGAATGGGTTTGGTGAAGAATGGCGTGCAGGGAGTAAGAAGAAAGAGGTGAGAGTCGAGGACAGAGGAGCAGATGATGGAGCCAGAAGGCCTTTGGTCTTGAGCCTGAGCAGTGACATGATCTGATATGTCCTGGAAGGCCCATGTGACTGCTGTGGAGGCCAGTGAGATGGCCACTGCCATGGCCCTTAGAGGCAAAGGTTGGTGTCCTGGTATGGGTCAGTAGTCAGGGGTTGGGCAAGGCGCAAGAAAATCCAGAGCCGGTGAGATGGTTCAGTGGGTAGAGGTGTTTGCCACCAAGCCTGGTGAGCAGATTCCAGTCCTTGGGACCCATGTGGTGGAAGGTGAGAAGTGACTCCTAGAAGTCGTCCCGACCTCTACACCTGCACTATCGCACCCATGTGCTCACACACACACACACACACACACACACACACAGCCCATTGTGTATGCCATGGGTTGAGGTTGGCGTTTAGGGTACAAGGAGCCTCTCAAGCCTCTGGAGGATGGAGACCTGGCTTCTGGTAAAGGGGCTGCTTTGGGCCTCCTTGCCACCAAGGAGACTGTGTGACTAGAGCCCACGAGAGACTGTGGGCAGTGGAGCCATCTGGCCTGGACACAGCAGTAAGCCCCATCAGGACAGACGGGGCTGCTGTGGGGAGCGTGGAGTGAGGAACACGTTTTCCTGCCACCTCTGTTCTCTTTCGGTGGAAGGTTCTGAGCCCGGATGCAGCCAGATGGCAGGTGCACCCCTGGTGGAGGACCCCCCTCAGAGGCTGCGGTGGCAGGCCCACCTGGAGTTCACCCACAACCATGACGTGGGGGATCTCACCTGGGACAAGATTGCAGTCTCCCTCCCCCGCTCTGAGAAACTCCGCTCCCTAGTGCTGGCCGGCATCCCACACGGCATGAGGCCACAGGTGAGATGGCCACAGAGACAAGGACCCCACGGAGCGTTCACAGCGCCCTGGCCTGTCACAAAAGAAACTGCTGTGTGACTTCCCTCTCCAGCTGTGGATGCGGCTCTCTGGGGCGCTGCAGAAGAAGACGAACTCAGAGCTGTCCTACCGTGAGATTGTAAAGAACAGCTCCAATGATGAGACCGTCGCTGCCAAGCAGGTAACACGGGACAGCCGGCTAGCTGGTCAGCAGGAGCTGCTTGGCAGGGCCTGTATGCCCTGGCAGGAGGGAGGGGTCGCTTCTGATGCCCCTTGTTGGTCTCCTTGGCAGGGTCGGCAGCCCTGCCGACTCGTGAATGTGGCCTGGAGTAAACGTGCTCCTTTCTGGGTCTTTCAGTGCGGCAGGGAAAGTTATCTAAAGTGTGTGGAAGGACATGGAGGAGATGGCTCCACATTAGGAAGAGCAGGGAATTTTAAATACTAATCTGGGTCAGGCAAGAGGTTCCCAGGTGGTGGCTGGTGTGGGCTCAGTTCCATACTTGATGGGCTCTAATTCTGGAGAAGGGAGGGCTAGCCTTGGCCTGGACCATAAGGAATCCCCATTGATGGGACAGAAGCCCACCCCCTACAGCTTCTCTCCCTGACTGGGTGGGTGTCGGTCTACATTGCATCCAACAAGGTCTTGTGGGGTGGGGTGGGGGTCTGGCAGATTGAGAAGGACCTGCTCCGCACCATGCCCAGCAATGCCTGCTTTGCCAACGTGAACAGCATCGGGGTGCCCCGTCTGCGCAGAGTCCTCCGAGCACTGGCCTGGCTCTACCCAGAGATTGGCTACTGCCAGGGCACAGGCATGGTGAGCAGCCTGGGAGGCATCCAGGGTCTTCTCCAGGCCTCCCGTGATGGATTGGATGTTCTCCCTTGAGGTGCTGTAAGGATGGGAGGCAGGGATTGACCTGGGAGTCCCCAAGGAGGGCCACGGGAACGTGTTTCTTTTCCCAGGGGCCCTCTCAACCAGCCTGAAAAGGTACACCTTCAGGAAGTGTCCCCCAGAGCCTTTCCTGAGCAGCCACTCTGGAATGAGGCAGCTTTTCTGACTCACATGAGTTCTTAGGTAGAAGCCTCCCGTCCCCTCTCTCTAGGTGGCTGCCTGCCTCCTGCTCTTCCTGGAGGAGGAGGATGCCTTCTGGATGATGTGTGCCATTATCGAGGACCTGCTGCCTGCTTCCTACTTCAGCACGACCCTGCTGGGTGTCCAGACTGACCAGCGGGTCCTGCGCCATCTGATCGTTCAGTACCTGCCTCGCTTGGACAAACTGTTGCAGGAACATGACATTGGTGAGACCTGGCTGCCTCCTTCCCCCAAGGTCCAGGGATCCCAAGGTGGTAGTGCCAACTCTGAGCTCTGGGGTTTCGAGGCAGCAGAGCCCGATGGCCAGGCTGTAGGCAGAGGCTCCTGTGGTTTATGTTGCTCTTGTCTTCTGTATGCTGACCCCTCCCCTTCCCCTCCCCTCCGCTGCTCTCTGGGAGCTGGCTGGCTCCTGCCCAGGATGTTCTCTGTAGGCCACAGCCTGGTCCCAGCCCCCGTGGCTTTGGTGTCTGTTGGCAGAGCTGTCCCTGATCACACTGCACTGGTTCCTGACGGCCTTCGCCAGCGTGGTGCACATCAGACTGCTGCTGCGCATCTGGGACCTGTTTTTCTACGAGGGCTCCCTGGTGTTGTTCCAGACGACCCTGGGCATGCTGCGCCTCAAGGTGCTCGCAGTCTCCTACCCCCTGATCTGGGCCACCTAGCTTCCAGACTGAGAACAGGAGAGCGTGCACCAGTACAGCAGCCCTGGGAGTCACTGTGGTAGTCAGTCCAGCCCTCATCATAGTGTTGCCTGAGAGGAGCCCTGAGTGTGGGTGTGCTCGGGGATGGATCTTCCTGGGTCTGCTGAAGGACACGGGCTTCTGGGGAGGGTGCCAGGGCCATGCTCCCTTCCTCTCCCACCCCACCCCAGGAGGAAGAGCTGATACAGTCAGAGAACTCGGCCTCCATCTTCAACACGCTGTCAGACATCCCAGCGCAGATGGAAGATGCGGAGCTGCTGCTGGGGGAGGCCATGCGGCTGGCTGGCTCCCTCACCGATGTGGCTGTGGAGACCCAGCGCCGCAAGCACCTGGCCTACCTCATCGCAGACCAAGGCCAGACCATGGGCACGAGTGCCACCACCAACCTCTCTCAGGTGGGCCGCGTGGGAGGCCCTGTCTTGGCTAAATCGTGGAGTTCCCAAGGAAGCCCAGAGTGAGGGGATGTAGGAAACAGACCACCCCTTCCATGCTGAGCCACTCCCCCTCCGTCCCACCCAGCTCTGCACAGGTCTGCCATGGCCCAGTTAGACAAGCCGGCGGCCACTAGGGGGGGACCTAGGCTTCCTTGGTGACATGCATCCCTGGACTGGCTAGTGAGGGGGACATTGCCCTTGCCTGAGCTGAAGACACGATTTGATCTCAGAGTCCACTGAGACACAGCAAGTCAGTGTCTTCCTTTCCTGAGTGGTTACTTCGGCCATGGCTGAGTGGCTTCCCTCTCCACAGGTTGTGCGGCGTAGGACTCAGCGGAGGAAGTCCGGCATCACCTCCCTGCTCTTCGGTGAGCACCAGCGTGGGTCTGCGCGGGCGCTTCTAGAGGTTGGGCAGGGCCGGTCACCGATCCCGTGTGCCTCCTAGGGGAGGACGACCTGGAGGCTCTCAAGGCCAAGAACATCAAGCAGACAGAGCTGGTCGCTGACCTCCGTGAAGCCATTTTGCGTGTGGCGCGCCACTTCCAGTGCACAGACCCCAAGAACTGTAGTGTGGTGAGTGGCAGGCTCCCGGACTCAGTTTGGGGCTCCCCTTCCCCAGCCCATTCTTGGTACTGAGGCTTCCTCCTCCATGGTGGGCCTTTCCTTTCCGGCAGGAGCTGACCCCGGACTACAGCATGGAGAGCCACCAGCGGGACCACGAGAACTATGTGGCATGCTTACGTAGCCACCGGCGCCGGGCCAAGGCTCTGCTGGACTTTGAGCGGCATGATGATGATGAGCTGGGCTTCCGGAAGAATGACATCATCACGGTGTGTGGGGGCCTGGCACGCGTGCTTCCTGGGCCCTGCTCCCCACCTTCCCTGCCGAGAGCGGATGCTGCCGCCGAGCATGCTTGGTGTCGGCCTGGCGGGTGCTGAGACCTGAGCTGGTTTGTGTCGGCCCTGAGCCCTGTCCTGTCTCGTGCTGCAGATTATTTCTCAGAAGGATGAGCACTGCTGGGTGGGTGAGCTGAACGGCCTGAGAGGTGAGGACTTCCTTCGCTGTGCCAGTCCTTCCTCTGCCCTGGCCTCGGAAGGAGCTGGGCTCTCTTTCCCCTTGGTCTTGGCATGCCTGGCCTCCTTCAAGGGTCTGGGCGGTCTGGGGAGCCCTCTGCTCTCGAACCTCGGGTAGGAGGGCTGGGATGGCCGTTGCTGCTCTTCACGGGGCTGCTTCCTCCCACAGGCTGGTTTCCAGCCAAGTTTGTGGAGGTCCTGGATGAACGGAGCAAAGAGGTGAGAGTGTGGAGCTACTCCGTGTCGCTCTGTGTGGGAGCATCCTCCTACCAGGTCCATGTCCCAAGGCCCCGGCTTAGGGGAGCTGCCAGGAGAACAGGGGAGGGTGGCTGGCTGCAGGTGTCAGGCTAGGGCTTCTCACACCTTCTCTCCACCAGTACTCCATCGCGGGGGACGACTCTGTGACAGAAGGAGTCACAGACCTCGTGCGAGGGACCCTCTGCCCAGCCCTCAAGGCCCTATTTGAACATGGACTGAAGAAGCCATCCTTGCTTGGAGGGGCCTGCCATCCCTGGCTGTTTATTGAGGAGGTAATCGCTGCTGGCAACAAGGCCCTCTGAGTCCCGGCCCTGAGGTGCCCTGGTGCTCACCTCAGTCCTTCCCTGGGTTCCTGGAGGTGCAGGGTGGTGGCCTGTGCTCACCATCCCCGCCCTCACACTCACACTGTGTCTTGTCCACCACAGGCCGCGGGCCGGGAAGTCGAGAGAGACTTTGACTCTGTGTACTCCCGCTTGGTGCTCTGCAAGACTTACAGGTACAAAGATAGTGCCCGTGCCACCTGCCAGAGCCCGGCACGGCAGCCAGTGATGGCACTCTTGTTCTTGCAGGTTGGATGAAGACGGCAAAGTCCTGACCCCCGAGGAGTTGCTGTACCGGGTAAGTTAGGACACTTGCCAGTGTTCTTGCGACCTCTCTGGCCGGCCACTGGGCACTGAGTGACATTGTGCCCTTCTCAGGCTGTGCAGTCTGTGAATGTGACCCACGATGCGGCACACGCACAAATGGACGTCAAACTCCGCTCCCTTATCTGTGTGGGGCTCAAGTAAGTATAGAGACGGAGAGGCCTTCAAAGAGTACCCCACGGGGCAGAGCCGGGGTTGGGGGGAAGTCCTCAGGAATTCTGGACCCATTGGAGGCCTCACCTTCTTGTGGAGGGTGCTCGGGAGCTTCCAGGAAGGGGTTGCAGGTTGAGGTCCTCAGGCCCCATCCTCTTGTTGTCTTCTTCCCAGTGAACAGGTCCTGCACCTGTGGCTGGAGGTCCTCTGCTCCAGCCTGCCCACCGTGGAGAAGTGGTACCAGCCCTGGTCCTTCCTGCGCAGCCCTGGCTGGGTCCAGATCAAGTGTGAGCTCCGGTAGGTGAGTGGGCAGCTCTGCAGGGCCTGGAACTTGGTGGTATGAGAGGCTGGTGGGTTGGCAGAACAGCCCAGAATGACCAGAGACTGTTCCTTGGTCCCTAGTGTCCTCTGCTGCTTTGCCTTCAGCCTCTCCCAGGACTGGGAGCTTCCTGCTAAGAGAGAGGTGCGTATGTGGCCTGGTTGGTTCCTGGCATTGCCTTTGCCAGGAGGGCTGTGGTGCAGTCTGGGCTGAAGAAGTGACCTGTGTGGTTCCAGGGTGGTCCCTGCCGGTGACTGGGGCTGTTCTGTGCACAGGAGGAGAAGCAGCCACTGAAGGAGGGTGTTCAGGACATGCTGGTGAAGCACCACCTTTTCAGCTGGGACATAGATGGATGACACTCCTTCTAGCTGCTCGGTGGCTCCCAGGCCCACCCCAGTCATGGGCGGCCTGGCAGGCCCCTCCCTTCAATAGAAAGAGAGCAGAGCCCTGGCCAGCCTCAGGCCTCCCTCCCCAAGGTAGGAGGTTCAGGGAAGGAAACGCTCCAGAGCCTGTCCGGGCCTCCCCACCCCATGCTCGCAGTTGGCAAAAGCAGATCCTGGTGGCCAGCTCAGCCTCTCTCCTCAATGTGTTCCTGGGGAGTGTCTTTCCAAGGTCCTTAAGGAAGCCCTGGTTTATTAACCAAAAACCCTGTGAAGAAGTGAAGAGCCACACCTAATGCCGGTCCCTGCTCAGGCCTCTTGACTTTGATTGTAAATAAAACTCATTTTGTGATAGAGCGCCTCCCATCTTCTGTTTAGCCAGGCCTGAGTTCTATCAAGGCCACCCCATCAGAAACCACTTGAAATGGTCTGACTGGGCCCTTGCTGAATATGTGTCCCAAGTCCACCTGATGGAATGAGGGCCACAGTGTGTGTGACCTCTAGATGCTGTCATGGAATAGGCCCAGGACCCCAGCCACACCTCTCAGCCCTGATGGATCAAATACAGCAGACCGGCAAGTCAGTGTTTTTGATTTTATTCTAAAAAGTTCACACAGCTTCCCCACCTTTGTCCCAGCACTGGTTTTGATGGCTCTGTCCCTACTTCATATGGAATCAGGACACAACAAGGCTGGTGTTGGGCAGAAGGTACCTCTTAGCCCCCAGCAGGTATAGCCAGGACCCACCCACCCTCACCACCATCCCAAGGCCAGGGTGGCCGCAGTGAGGGGATGGGGTGGAATGTGGATGGGTGGAGAACTCCTGGAGAGCCAGGAAGTGCCTCTGCCCTTGTGGCACTAAGGAGCCAGGAAGCAGGGCAGGGTGGCGTGTAGGCAATGGCAGGTGTCTGTCTACATGTCAAGTACACGTGGGGTAGGCCTAGGCAGCTGCATGCGGGGCTGGGTACTGGGCCTTGTGGCACACAGCTCCTCATGACGACCCCGTATCAATCCCCAAGCAGCTCTCCAGGCCTTTTGCATGTGAAAGCAGGTGGAGGTAGCCACACCCATCTCCCCCCACCCCTAAAAATATATGTATATATGTAAGTTGATATATAATATAGAGGTATATACACCTATACAGATTTTTGCCACCAACCACTAAATGGTTACATTATACCAAGACTAAAATGGCAAAGTGCCACCTCTTGGGACTGGCTGAAATAGGGAATGGGCAAGTAGAGGCCTGGCTTAGTTTCTTCCTTAAAGGGAGAGGAAGGCAGGTTGGCTCCAGGCCCACTTGGGCCAAACTCCAGCCAGATGTGCACCTCTGACCTCAGAAAAGGAGGTCGAATTGAACTGGGCCTGGCCAGCCTCCCAAAACCTCAGCAGAGGTCGGGAGTTATTTCTTGACAGCTTACATCCCCTGCCCTGGGTGAGCCTGAGCCAGGCGTAGGGTCTCTGCTGCAGCCTCCAAGGACTGTGATTGTCAAGGCTCACAGTCACAGGGAGCACACATTGGCTATGGTTCTGTGGCTCCCCAGCTTCAGACCCTCCCCTAGCCTATGTCTGGAGTCAGAGGGCTACAAGCAGGAATCCCAGTGGAGCTGCAAGTCGTGGCCATCCAGGAAGTCTGTGGAGAAGAGGCTGGGGGCTGCAGTGCTGAGGGGGGCCAGGCTGAGCACAGGGCCGCCGGGTGACAGCTCCAGCCAGTCCATGCTGTCCAGGTGGCCATCAGCCAGGTCCAGGCCCATACCACTGCTGGGCTCAGGAGCAAAGTGCAATTCAGAGGTGTCCATGGGGGATGGGGGGTGGTCCAGGATGGCAGAGCTGCTCAGCATCTGGCTGTGGAGGTCGTCGATGAGGGAGAGGGGCTCTGGCCCTTCGTGCCCGCTTGTCAGCAGGGGCAGCCCTGTGCTGCTCTCCAGGAAGTCCTCCAGGCGCCCTGGGAGCGTGGGGGAGCCAGGCGGAGGAGCAGCCTGGGGGAGTTCATTCGAAGGCGAGGGTTGTGGTGTCAGCAGGGACCCACAGGCTGCTGCTGGGGGTGGTTTCTCCTTGCCTGGTAGGGATGGTGGTTCCTTGAAATACGCTGAAATCTCTGCCAACAGAGAGAGTGGATGGGGTCAGAAACCAGGTTTGAATATGCACAAGAAGATGATGGGACAACCCTTTCCACAAACCAGAGAAAAACCTTCTGACTACTGACTTAAATACAGGAGATAAACCATAGAACTTAGAACTTGTTGGGAGCTGAGGGTGGATGGTACAGTGCTTGCCTGGTATGCATGAGGTTCTTCTGGGTTCAAACCACAGATGCATGCACCGAAAAAAAAAAAAATAATGAAAAGACATGTCACCAAATGGGAGGTTTGATAAGGGAACTCATACACCCAGAATATACAAACTATTTGTAAAAGCAACTTCATTTAAAAAAAAAAAAAAAAAACGGGCAAAGGGTAGGTATTTTCTCCAAAGAGCTACACATGGCTGTAACAGTTCATGGCATCACTGGTTATTAGGGAAATGCAATGCCTTGCCCTGGGAAAATATTACTTCATACACGGCAGTCTGGCCACCGCTGGGTCAGAAAATAGGTGGTGGTCAGAAGTGGAGCACAGATGAACACGCATGAGGTTTCCAGCACCAGAAGTGTTGGTGGGGAAGTGGGGTCACTGGACCAGTGTGCACGACAGGAAAGGTGAACTAGCTCACAGCAGCTTTGAAACAGTATGAGCTGGTTCCTCAAAAAAACCCAGGATGATCTAGCAACCCGACTTGTGGGTATGTACTCAAAAGAATATGGCGGCGGCAGCCACACACAGTTCAAGTGTCCAGTGATGGACAAGTGGGTGACCCTTGAGGACGTGCTAAGTAAATAAACCATTCACAGCCCGACCGAGACCGTGAGTCCACACACAGACAGACAGACACGGTCAGACAGGGTGGGGCCGTGGGAGTGCTCGTCTAAGGGTGTGAGGCAGGCAGTGACGGCTGTGCGACACCCATGTACAGATGCAACTGAATGGTCAAGTTTGGCTACATGCGATACAGTAAAACTGCAAATCCTCCGGCTAGCTGTTCACTGCTTCCCAGGTGCCACCACCTGCCTCTTTCCTGCATCCTCGGGTGTCCTCTGGGGGACAGGCAGCACTCCAGCTGCTCTTCCTCTGCCATCCCTTAAACACCAGACCGCAGTGGTTGCAACTCCTTCATTAATCACCCCTGTCCTGATGGGGTTTGTTCTGGACGCCGAAGCTCAGGCCTGGGGCTCTCCTGAACTCCAGTCCACCTGCGCTGGTCGAAAGGCCACTCAGCTCCGTGGCAGACTCAGCACAGATGTCCCCTCAGCATCAAGCGCACCCTCTGGCTGCACCTGTCTGGTTCAGTGCAGTCACGACCCCGGGGGCCTCTAGGCTGGGTACCCTCTGCCACCTGGGGCCAGGCCCCGCGTCATCTGGCCATGACCTCACGCTCTTCTGCCCTCTTCCCTTACTCCACAGCCCCCAAGATGGTACCCTCCAGGGCCTGCCCTGGAGCCCTGAATTCCTAGCTCTTCCCTTGTCAGTGCTACGTCCAGGTATTTGGACGACTCTCCGTACTCTCTGTAGGCCATGTTCGCATAACTGCAGGGCTGTGGAGTCCGTGTTCCAAGGAACACATGTCAAAGGACTGTGCCTGCCCAGGCCTTCAGACGATGTCACAGGCCTGCTGCTCTGTGACTAGAGGTAAGGCAGGCAGCTGGGGACGGGGTTTACCTCCACTCTGAATAAGAATATCAAACAGATCGTCCATCTGCTGACTGGAGGAGCCGTTTTCCTGTGGGAAAGAAACAGAAGAACGTGAGCTGGTATCCAGATACCATCGAAGCTTAGGCTGGGCAGCCTGGCTTGCGCTTCTGCCTTGTACTGGGTGTCCCTTATGCTCATCCCAACACACGTGGGGCTGAGGCCCTGCCCGAGGCTAGGCCTACCGCCTTACAGTACTTATTGTACATATGGGAGCGTCTGTGCGTGCCCTAACGTGTGGAGGTCGGGACAACCTGCAGGGGTCCACACCTGGACCACCACCACGTGGTTCCTGGGGCTCACGTGGTTGTCAGGGAGTGCCTTCATCTGCTGAGACATCTTGCCAGCTCCCAGCATCCTCACCTGCTGCTTCGGCTGCTGACTCACAGTCTCCTCATACCCAGGCGGCTCCTTCTTCAGCAGAGATGTGGGGCCTGCAAACGCGGGCTGGGGCGGGTGTTCCAGGTCCATCTGTGCAGGTGGGCCAGGGGCCGGAGAACCAGGCTGGGACGGGGGCTGAATGGGAGAACAGTTGTGGGTGGGGGAGGCAAGGAAGGCTCCAAAGGTGCCGGGGTGGGGAGGGGCCTCCCTCCCTGCCCACAGGGAGTCAGCTAATGAACTCCTGGGAGCTTTCGTGGAAGCCACTAAGGAAGAAGTGGCACAGAATGGGGTAAGCATGAGGCTGTGAGGGCGACAGGAACACCTGGCCTCAAGAGGGCCACTCTAGGCAGCGGGACCCTGAGTCTAAGGCTACAGCCTCCATAGGACAGGGGGTCACGCTCCACCCCTCCATGACCCACCCCAGCCCCTGCCAGTCAGCTACCTGCCGGGGGCTCCCAGTGGGCAGGCCAGGGCCGTCTGCGCTCTTATTGGTCACAGTGAGGATGAGGTGAGTCCCTGTCGAGTCGGTGACCAGGGTAGGCGGGGTGACCCTCTTGAGGAAGCTGGTGCCCTGTGGGCCCAAGAGCTGGGAGGCCGGGGCCAGATCTGGCTCAGGTGGCCCGGCGGCTTCCTGCTTCACCACCACAGGTTGGGGCCCTGGGGCTGGGGCCGGGGCCGGGGCCTGAGCGTCTCCGTGATTGGTAGTGGGAACCACCAGGCCAGGGCCGAAGGCACAGCCGGAGCCCTGGGGCTGGCCGCTCAGCTGGCAGCTGGAGAAGCTGCTTTCCCGCTTCACAGGGCTGCTGCTGGCTGGGGCTGGCTGCTGGGCCCGCTTCTGCTGCTCCAGCTGCAGCCGCAGCAGCTCAACCAGCTGCTGCTTCTGTTGGAGCATTCGGGTCAGCTCCTCAATCTGCTTGTCCTTCTCCTGCAGCATCTGGTCCTTGTCCAGCCCCTCCAGCTCGGCCTGTGCACCAGGGCCCAGGCAGCAGGACGCAGCCCGGGCGCCCTCCTCCTTCACGAGGATCTGCAGCGGGGAGGCCTGCAGGGTGAGCTGCGTCAGCGGCGACGTCACCATTTCACCGAAGGCATCCCCCGGGGTGGAATTCTCGTCCCCCGTGCTGAGCAGTGACCGCTCGGAGGGGGTGGGGGACACCGGGGGCGTGGAGCCCATGCTGCCAAACTTCACCAC